TGAATCACGAATTTTAATGTACAAAGTTTGTGTTCGACCTCTTCTAGAATATTGCACGTTTATTCTTAGCAGTGCGCGCATAAAGGATAAATTAAGGCTGGAATCAGTACAGAGACGATTTACACTTCGTATTCTCAGAGCTGGTTGTACCTTAACTTATAATTCTAGGTGTAAAAAACTAGAGCTAGACCCTTTATGGAAGAGGAGACTCAAACTAAATCTTATTTTTTTCTTTAAACTACTTAATAAACTATCCTTTACATCCAATCATGTAATTCAATATGCAGAAACTCCTCATTATGAAACCCGTAATTCCTTGGCACTTGTGAAACAAACTTATTCTAAATCATCTCTTTATATGAATTACTTTGCCTGTAAATTTTCTAGACTCTGGAATAACCTACCACAACATATCCGTACGATAAAATCACTCCCATTATTTGTACGTTGCATCGATGCATATTGCTCCTCCGAAAATGCATTGGATGCTCTAGCACCTGCAAGTGTATCTCACTCCACAAGTGTTATTATAGGAACTTTAAATGTTTAGGCATTTTTATTAGTGCATTCTCTGGATAAAACCACCAACTTGCTGTCACTTTATGTTAATACCGTCCCCAGCTAGTTTAACTAATTTGAATATCATCAACAGTATATCACTGTGTCACATGACATACGCATTTTGATAGATCTGTTTGACATATTTCGGTAATTACTGCTTTGTTGTTCCGTGCTCTCTGTTTTCGTTTTAATTTCTCTAGTTGTAGATATTTATCATTAAATCGATCTGGCACACGAAATGACCTTAATTACACCGTTCATAAACCAACAGGCTGTCCAGTTAAGAAATATTACATGTTCCCGGCTGATGCATTGGATCGCTGTAATACCTAAACAATTACTGAACTAGTAAACTTAAAACTCATATCACATGTTTGTTCTGTACATATTGTGATATTATTCATATCAAATTGATCATGCCTGTAAACTTGCGTGAATTCTGTAATTATCATTTTTTCAGAATATAAATTATTATTATTATTATGTAGGGTAAAACCAAACTTCTTCTTTGATGAAGACATTAGTATTCTCTCCAGAAATTCTTGATTCCAGGTTGAATGTAGGTTAATCTGTGGTGGTATTAGTTCATAACGGCCCGACCTTGGAAGATGGGCGTATGACTATTGCAAAGATTTACATTCAACATGTATCACTTAGAGTAGGCCAACTATAGTGAATGTGTCAATAGTGAATTGAAATGGCATATCTCGGTCATCCAGACATGATCACTTAGTATAAATTATTAGTTTTTGCACAGAATCTACTTTTCCCTACTCAACCCATATGTGTTATTTTGAAGTGTTGGACATCATATATGCTGATTGACACGATAGAACGAGCCAGTTTATACTAGGATATGACTTCCATGTAAAATCTTACAGACTAGGTAGTCACCTAATGACGAATCTACAATTTCAGGGTTTAGTCTATTATTACAGAATCGAAGGAGGTAATACCACCGAACCAGACAATATTTCTGCACATCAATACAATTACGTCGGTGATAAAGTGTTTTTGATGTTAAGTCACATAAGCAAACAATATATCGCACAAATATCTCATAACACTTATAGGGGGAGACTTCGTTCGTCAGCTTTACTTAGTACTATATATCTGTTCACGCAATTTAACAGTTTTCATGTGGGTGAAGTTCTTGTCATATACATTGCAAAGAATCTGTAACGGCAGTGGAACAATTCTGAACCCTCACCATAAACCACCCTTGAAGCTAAATGTAAACTAGCCACTGACCGAGTAAAGGCAAACAAAGTTTAACGCGGGTACCCTGAGAGGAGACTGCTTATATCAAACATTATTTTATCTTATAGCTTGCTTACATTCCTCAGAGGTTTTCACAAAACATACCACTGACCGACGCGTGGAGTAACTCGGCATAGGCAATACAGTTACAATCTGGCAGCCACATAGCATTGGGTTAAGTTCGCTAATTCGGTAGCAAAGATTAGATAATCTCTTCCTGCTGGTGACACTTACAACTCAGCACTTGACACTTTAATTTCATTGCTTCTTTTATTTCTTTGCAATTGTTCTCCGTAGTACTTTCCTTTTTTTAAGTAGACACCGTAAGACTTTCTGGAAAAGATTAGCACCGCTTTATTTTGTGAATAAACCTTGTTGTTATTCACATCTTAAATAGCCTTACTTGTTCTATGTGATTCCTGTTCTTGACTACGGAAGTACCGTTTAAATTTGACTTTACTTTTCTGTCAAAGTTTCGTTCTCGTGCTTGAATGACGCTGAATATCATTCACAAATGCATTGCGGTGGATATAATTCTCTTTATCATGCAATAAGCAGCTATATTAATAGATCTTCAACATAATTGCCATCCTCGTTTAAAAATCACATGGTGTCCATTGTAATTATTGCCGCCTTTCTTTTGAATGGTACGATCGTGGCCATATAGCTGCGAGTTTTCCATCTCATAGGTCCTTTTCACGCCTTTTTGGATAGCATCAGTTCAACTCCTTTTATATGTGCAGAACAACACGGCACCACTCTTGAAACCAATCTTTCCCGTTTGGCTTTCATTTAATGGTCTCCGCTTATTCCAAGCACCACTAGGTTTTATCTTCATAATTATACAGCTATTTCAACAGATCTCTGGGTCTCACATCGTGTGGAATATTCCATGTACCTGTATTAGTTGTTGTTCCGATTGTCACGAACTTAACTAGCCTGGTAATTTTCGAAGAGTTTCTGCTCCCAACATGAGGCGTCATTACTCATTAATGAAGACCCATAAATGCCGAGAACCTAGTTCGAATAGTTAAAACTACCCCGCCCTCTTATATGTACCTGAGATCAGCAGTTAATCTAGAAGAGTTTCAAGCGTAGTTAACGTCTTAAGAGCATTATCTTTTGAAATAACATTTTACAGTGGTAGACGCTGAAAGTCCACAACTTTGAGGCAGATATATCCACCAGTGCAATGATAGAATACAAAAATATTAGGATCGACAGTTACTACGTATGTTCAAACTCAACTGTGGTTACTGATCCCAGAACTTACAAATCACTTTCGTTAAGGTGTTGAAACCACTTATAGTCTGTCAGAAAACATCTACCAGATAAGATACCAATCGGTTTGCGTATTTTGATTACGACCCAGTCTTCTTATAGATTCCGACTGACGATTTATATCGAACGTTCTAAGTGCGAATGAGCACTATATTTCCATCATGATAACAGTAAATTACCATTTCACACTTTAAGAATTTCTTTGAGGTTTATAAAGCCGACTGAACTTGCAATAGTAAAATACATACATGTAGTTCAATTCTTGGTATTTCCTAAGCGGTGCAGATTTCTTGACGAGGTTATGAACAAACGTTCCGCGAAAATATTATATAGTTTTAGATAACACAGCGTTTACAAAAAATATATCGCCCCTATATTTCTCTGTAACAAGTCTACAATTTTAGGATTAGGTCTATTATTAGAGCAGTGCTAATATCATAGTAGACCATAATTCTACAAGCGATCGAAGCGTTTTTGAGTTATTTGTATTAAATTATCTCAAAACACAAAACACAATTTAAATTATTCTAATTTATAAACTAGAACAAACTATATCAAATTTAAAGCACTTCAAACGGTACAGCTTGTTCTATATAGTCCAAAGTTTCTCTAACGCGAATTAGCGTGCTAAACAACAAAAGAAATAGCTCATGCAAAAGACTTCAATACCTTAGATCCAATAAAAATATTCCCAACAAGATAGGATCAGTTATCTATCTGCAGTGATTCCAGCAATCTTTCCAAGCAGACAGTCAAAGGTTAACAGTCACACACTGAACCACGCCGTGACATTGAGCGTAGTGAAACACGACCTTATTGTCAATATTCCGGCAACGTGCAACAGAAAATTAGGTAACAAAATGTTAGTCTTTAATCGAAATCACACAATAAAAGCCCCGGCGAAGAAGACTGAATAACAAAAAGTGTGGTTAAACGAGATCTGAACAAAGGTTGGAATATACGACAGAGAGAGAAAACAAATAAACGATAGTACTGTCTAACAAAATGCTGTGGAAGGATTTTCAGCGTTTTCTTTCCGTTACATTGACTGTAAGACATGGCAAACCAAAAGTTTAAATTCAGACAGATTGACGTTGGAAGGCGCTCTTCTAATAACTTGCCTCCAAATCAAGATGAACATGGTTGAAAAGAGAGTCATGAGTTGTAAAAAGCCTAGGAGGCATTTGTTGTGTCTTAATACATTGAATTTCTCTCAGCTTATAGAACCATTTATTTTGATGATATATTTTCCGCTACAAAGTATTGAGATCACTTAAAAGTGTTGTTCAAATATAAATCATTTGAGGTATACATACATGAGTTTATATGATATTTGTGATGCATTTGTCACTACTATGGTGTCCACGTTCTATTAGAGACAGATATAACCTGCAACTAAAAATTCCTAACTACCAAACCAGAATAAATGAATGAATAATGCCGCAAAATTCATGTTTATATGGAAATCATAATAGGGTCAAATCACTGACATGAAGATGGTTTAACAACAATTACAATTACGATTGTCTAAATAACAATTGAAGGAATGTGCTTTGTACTTCCGTTGGATATTTTCAACAATAATGAAACCCAAAAAAACTTGAGGGATAATTCCACTCCAAGGTCAAGCGCTTACTTTGTTCGTCTTTCATCCTAGAAGCTCGGATAAGCTATAGTCTTATTTTCATAGTAGTCATATGTAGATAGTTGATGATAAGTAAAGCAAATCACGAATGAAAACCATACTCCTATTTGCAGCGCTTAAAAATAGAACAAACGGCAATATGCCCCCAAAATACCGAATTCCTCACCTTTGTTTTATGGATGGTCATCACGTTTCCTTACAGGACCTTGTACTGAATTAGATTAATTCACGGCGGGTGTTCAAAGCTGCAATTATGACCTTGAGGGGGTAAGCCGCGTTTGGCTTCAAAGCATGCTTCCAATGCTGTTTTCAATTGAGTTCAAATCAAGCCTATAGTATTTGACGGACCTGTGACTCACTTAATTTCGTCACACCCTTTTAGAACATAGTGATTTATTAATGATCATTTTTCAGTGATATATTACGTCATAGTGTAATGAAAGTATACTTTCGTTTAATGTTCGTCCATTTAAAAGAGGCCTTTGACACTTCTTTTAGCACTTCAAATTTACCGTCTCTTTATCCTGATAAATTGTAGCTTAAATTAGTCAATTAGTGAGCTCCTTTGTATCTCTCAAATGAGATTTTGTTGTATTTCAACACGTTTCCATTTAAGTTGTTTGAAATAACGGAGGTGTAGTTGAAAATGACTTCCCACTAATGGTTAACAATGTCTGGTAAATACACTGTAATTATCATAATTTACAGGCTTCCTGACCCTGATAACTGCTCATGTAATGCCTAAAAGTACGGTGTTTAGTGTCATGAAATTTCTTTTAAATCTAAATTACTCCCAGGAACTTTTACGCTTGTATTTTGTCCTGTTATCCTTGAATTTCTTCCAAAGGACCACTTGTTTTCACTGTCCTGGATTAATTTTTTGTGTAACATAAACACAAGCATATGGAATAAAATAAGGTTCCTTACTGACCATTCTTTGGCTTTATTTAGAGTCCATATGTACACGATAGTGGACCTTGTCAAAGTTATAAAGCAGGTAATCTCAGTAATTTTGTAATTGACGTTTTAAGGTTCGATACTGGATTCACATCTTACCTAACCAAGCTTAAAGATGAAATTTGGTTATCCAGCTACAATTTTCCATCTACTTTCGAATTTATCATGAGCTTACTTTGAACGCTTTTCTCCTAAAAACCTTGCCTGTTACGTCCCAATGACTTTTAGTAAGTCTTCCCTGAATCCCCGGTTTGCCTCCTGTCATATAGTTAATCTTTGTTTCATTTACTTATTCAGCAGGTTTTTTTTTCATCATGGGCTAGTAAACAGAAGTGAAACGTTCAATTTACTATATTCGTTAATAAAAAGGACAACAGGGAAGTAATATGAAGGCCAGAAAATTATTAGATAAAAACTCTAGAAAACAAGTTGTTAAACGGTCGGCTAATACTCTGATGTTTGTAGGATAATGGCTATATTCGGGTTTGCAAGCTAAAGCACATTTTTGTTGCCACTTCCTCGCGTAGTTCACCGAAGCCTTTTCAAAGCTCAACTCTCATGTCTCCCAGTTTTATGCTTATAAGTCAAGTAGCGACTTGAAAATAAAGGATTTATGTCTTGCTTTGTTTGTATTATCTGATAATCGCAATATAATTATTTGGATGATTTTCTGCATCCATCTCATTAGTTGTAATTTAAAGTGGTCACTTTTGTAACCAAGTCATCTAAATTTTGTGTATATTCTCCTATTGTAGACAGTAAAATGTTGCTTTAATATTCAAGCTGAGCACATTGTTCTGTCTGTTTAAATCACTGAGTCTAAATATGATCCGTCTTCATGTATAGTGTGATTTTTAAAACGCAGATTATTTTTGCACAGATCTGTTGTTTTTGTTTTTCTTCCAGAACGTATGTGCTCAGTCGGCTAATAGAATGCCTTCGTTATAAAAGTTTCATTTCATGTCAAAGATATTCTTGTTCAAGTGCAAATTTGTCAAACCAAGATCCTACTTCTGATCCAGACAAGTTAACAGAGTTTTTGAATCAGGCTGAGCGTTCAACAACTGGGGATAAAAATTTCTCTGATAATAGCCAAAGTTCTGTATACAAGACAAATGATTATTCGAAATCAGACGTTGGTCCGTCTTCAAGTTCCAATTTTCAGGAGAATTCTAGCGGAAAGGTTTATTCTGTGTAGTCAGTTATTGGATTTTCGTTTTATTTTAGGATGAGAAAAGAGCTGTGTCTTCAATTTCATTTGTTCCATGGACAATGAGTTTATTTCTAAAGGAGATGAATATTTCAAAGTTGCTTTCTGAACGTTCAAAACGTTCAGAAAAGCCTTTTTCTACTTTATTGCGCTATAGCCCATTCATTCAGCTTGGGGATTTCAGGTCACGTGAGGTAAGTTTGTATACTTTACTTATGTCACCTAAATCCTGAGTCAAGTATCAATCCTAACTTTTTATTCAATTTTATTTGTTCCCTTTAAAACGTATTTATTATGCTTAGACTTCAAACACGGTTGGTGTTATTTCCTCTCAGTCGCTTCTCTTCTGGTTGATTTCCTCCCTCGTAACTGAAATAAGTTGCAGCAAGTTGGTCCGATACACATCTGTGCCATGTTCTACGCTACCTGTAAGTGACTGGAAACCAGATTCGGCTAGACTATAATGGAATATCCACATACTCAGGTCAAGAGATGGTTATAATGATCAAATATAATGCTGTCGTTTTGCTGTTAGGTACATAACACTCGTTAATTTAAAAGCGTAACAACTTTACTTGCAATAATGTAAGACTATTTATCACTTCTAGGGACACAGGTAAGATAATTGTATCAGCTTCTGAATAAAAAACAAGATGTTTGATAAAATTCCGTTTCCAGCCCAACATTCGTATTCATTATATTTGGTGCGGGAAAAAATTGGCTTGGCAGATTTTGTAGTAGGCTTCTGTGAATAGCTATGGCTTAGTGGCATAGGCACTTTAATGATATCATCAACCTCCACAAAAGTGTTTAACTCAAGGTTGATAACTGGTTTCATGAGGACAGCCGTACTATTAATAGCTTGATATCAGTGATTACTTAAAACCGGTAGACATTTCAAACTAGTTAGTAGACTGAGGTTCATCTGGATTGAATATAACAAAGAGTAGTTAAAGTATAGTTTGGCCAAATGCCTGCTCAAGGATAATAGGTACTTGTGGGCGTTGAAAATAACAAAGACTGAAAACACATGTTCAATCTGTGATAAATGTAAGATATATCAGAACAATTGTCCAAAAGTCGTAATAGTTGATATCATTATCGCTGAATTGAACCCATTTTTGCTGACATTAGCCATTTTGTAAGTGATATTTAAGGACATTTCAGTTAGCTGTCCAGCTACAACTCAAATAGTGCGCCACTACCTATAAACTTAGATTTTAAAGATCGGGATGGTTTAAGTTGACTATATTTAAAGATTGTAGTTCAGTACCGATAATCAAATCATCTTAGGTTCCAGACAAATTACGAGAGTCAGGTGTAAATTGATCGGGTTTTGAAGGTTCGTCGGTCATTTTGTTTCATAACAATTGACGAATATTGTGATTACGGAAGAGTAATCATTGTTTGAAATATGCTATCGATGGTCTTCAACACGACGCGTCTTTTAGAATGAATGACCACGTAAAATAGTTCAATTTGTGATCATTTTGGATGCTTCGTTACTCAATCAGGTTCTAAAACGAAGAAATATGGCCATAAGGTACTTCGACCACATTTTTCAATATAAAGGCGGCATTCGGCAGAACTAATAGAGTTTTTCAACAGTGTCTAACATTAATTGAAGTTCCGGGAGGAGTACGTTACACTGTTGTTTTTGTCAATATAGCTCACGCTCCCAAAGCAACTGAGAGATATCATATACGTCACTACTACTGTGACTGTTAAACATGCTACATGAAAATCGAATAAATTCGTAGGTTGAAGGTTTCTGATCACAAGCGTCTTCAAAGCATTGTTCGCGTATCGTGGAACGACAGATTAATCAATGTTGTGGTTAGACATAGGCTACTTGGCAGATGTAGCAAATCAGTTGATGAGTTATTAGATCTTCGTCAACTGATGTGGTTAGGACATGTGTTAGTATGCCTAACCATCACCTACTTTGAGCGATACTTGTTAGTACAGAAGTAGGCTGTAGGAAAGCTAGGGGCGGCCAAATGAAAACGTGGCATCAGTTAGTCCATGAAGTCATTGACTATTAGTCTGAGTTATATTGATAAATCCAGACTATCTGATTGGAGTTCACGTGATAACCGCAATCATTGTTTGAAGAGTTTGAGTTCGGTTTTAAATTCTAATATCTCCATGCATACCTTTCCACTCAGCTTTTTCAAAAGATTCTCCTTAGGTTTAGTATTTCCGTTTGTTATTGTTATCACACGATTTCTATCTGTTTTGTGATTTTCCTTTCATCGTGCAAATGTAGTACGGTAACTTGGGCCTGTGTAGATTTGTGCCAGGCTGTTTGTCTGGCTACCACGGGTAGTGTCTAGGTTTGTCTGCTATTTCCATATCTGTTCAGCTTTTTTATCTTCGGTCTTCTGGAAAAGCATTTCTTACCCGTAATCCCTCTTGTTACCACTGACTGGGCGATCACACTAGAGTATACTGATAAAGGCGCTTATAAGACATGTTTTATAAACATTTTAAGCTAAATTCCCATTGTTTCAAGTCCATTCCACTACTCCTACCACCACTGTATCGTTCAAACACTGGTGCAGTTTTTGATTTCATATTTGTTTGGGATGTCTGTTGTGTATTCCACCGAATGAATTTTGTTTTTATAAGGAAAACACTATTAGATTATTAACAGTAATTGATTATTGTTATGTTCAAATTATTGTTTATCTGCAGCGGAATCACTGCGTGAGCTTGTTCTGTATAGTGATAGTCAATGTCCATTAATGTTATGTAATTCCTCAATAGTAAATATTTTGCTTTAAATCACCGCAATTTGTATGTATTCACTGGGGTTATTATGATTTTAAGCTGTTTTAGTAGTAACGTTTACTTCTTAGTCACGTTAGCGTTTCATAGCACACTAAGTAACATAAACTTTCATTATCATAGTAAATCCACTTGGTAAGGACACATTTTATGTATTTTTGTCTTTTTTAGTTGTAAATTTCTCTTATAGTATTTTAGGTTTTTCTTTTTGTTTAGCTAATTGGTGTTGTTATTGACAACGTGGATGACACTGATCTTTACATAGACTTTGGTGGGAAATTTCACTGTGTATGTCATCAACCGGCTAACCAATTTTATCCACGTGGAAGCTTAGTGCGTATACGCTTAAAAAATCCCGAGTTAACAGACAAATTTATGGTAAACACTAAAGGCGTTTCAATCTTTGAAGCAGATGCTGTACTTCTAGGACCATACAAAGGCCGGCTTGTTAGGACTGTACCTGAAGAAGAAAAAATGATAACAACAATTGCAGATGGTGTTAAAAGACAGCGTCCCTCTACAGATGAAGACAATGTGGCCTTGGAACATTGGCGCCTCAAATAGCATTTTGTGTAATACTTTCCCTTTTGTATATACATGTTATCTAGACTAAGTTAACCAATCATGTAATTTCACCATTGTATAAATAAACTAGTTACCATTTGACAAGATTCTTTTGATGGGACTGTCTTAGTTTTCACTCCGTTTAAACACCACTTACTTTTCACACAGTACACTCATAATCTGCACCTCATTTAATCCCGACAATTTTCCTTCATTCAGTGCAACTTATCATTTTAGCATGAATAACATGGATTTCCATAACTATTTTACGAGAACTGTCAAAATATATGCAAACTTATTTTATTCTATCCAATCCGTTGCACGTTCACACAATCATTAATGTTCTATTAATGCCAATACATTGTAGCTACAACTATCGAGAAAATAGACTCAGTTGACTCCGACAGTGAATGTAAAGACAAAGGCCTATGAAACTGTTAGGTTTGAAGCTTAACGAGTTCACTTAAATTTACAAACGAGATTCGGTGACGAACGACCAGTGAGCTAATGACGCGTCCCAGCCCCGCTATCTAGAGAGAGAAGACCAGGCTTGAAATGAGAGTATATTCTGCAACAACCAGAAAACCAGCAAACCTTTTCACAAGACAATTTTAATAACGTATATATACAAATATATATATATATATATATATATATATATATATATATATATATCGATATTGCCATGGAGCTTTTAAACATTTAATCGATAAATTCGTCAATCAACTATGTGCGTGGGTGGTAAGAAATGCCCACGTATACATCTGCATACAAGCTCCACAAGATAAAATTACAAACTATGAGTTTTTGTGGATCTATCGTCCCCAACAGAAACTCACAAAATTAAGTGAAGCTCATATCATAGTCATAGTTACTGACCTTCAGATGATTATGTGCAGTTTCACTAGTCCTTTATTTTCTAGTAGAGGGTCCACCGAATATTCACGACTGACAGTTTCACATGTACCTAACACAAGCTTTTATCATAAATTTTTTCAGAGTTTAACAATAAATAGTAAAATCAAACAACCCTTCCCAACCCGCAGTTATTGGCAACAATTGATATTATATCTTCCCTCTATTCTAAGTAATTTGACACACTATTTCGAAGTTGTTATTAAACCATATGGTATGACAATAGTCATACCTCAAATTATTTTAAAGATAAGTAGTTTGTTAGCTTCACTAAAGAATCATGGAATCATAAAATATATTCCCAAACAATATATCTGTATAATAATAGTCACTTGTGCTAAGTTTCCTGTGTTGTTGGATTACACCTTGTTCTTAGATTTTAATTTTGTTGGTTCAATTAGTAGTGGATAATCGTCGAATAAAGTATACCGAACGAACAGGTTCTTAAAGGGATCAGCTCTTTAATGTCTTAAAATATCATTGACCAACATGGAATCTACCTCGCAAGTTAAATTAGAGGCCCAAAACCTCTTGGAGCTGAGCCATGCAAGATATAAAATTTCCCGTCCAACGTTAGGTGTAACTATTAGCCATATGTCGGTGCATTACTAAATTTCCGTAACTCAGTATTGAATAGTGTGTTATTTATGATAGTCGACATGGTCATTCTGTGTAAGAAGTACAGCCGATGCACATCTATATTCTGTCAGGTTGACAGATATTTTGATCCTGTAACTGGTTGCTATACTAAGTCTAACTATGACTGGACTTGGCTGAAACTATTCCTTTTATGATTGTTATTCTTCATAGATATTGTTTCTCTACTATGTATCGTATTCAGAGAAGCACATATGGTATACAAATCAATGTATAATTATCGACAGGTAACAAAACGTCTCCCCACCTTCAGTTTTTAAATCACTTTTGTTAACAATTTCATTCCACTTAGTTAATTCAGTGTCTACAACCTGTGGTTCATCAAATAATGATGGTGAGGAATAGGTTTATTCAAATAATAATAATAAAAGAAAACTACAACATATATTATAAAACAGAAAACGACACAGGGTCTATTAAATGTTAATATAAGCAAATTAATCACGCTCATCATCCCTGATGGTACATAGGGTATTGACCCAGAATCTCCAACCAACTCTATCATGGGATCTCCTTTGCATTTGTATCAAAGTGCTATTCATTCTTTCGACGTTTGCCTCCAATTCCCAGCACAATATGTCCTTCAATTTGTTTCTTCCTTTTCCCTTCAGAATTCCAAGTTGGCGCTTGCCTCGTGATGCAGTTTGATGATGTCCGTAGTGTGATCTATCCGTCTCCAGCATCTTTTCCTAATTTCTTCCTCAGCTATAAGCTGGTCTCTTCTATACCAGAATACTGATGGTGTCTGGCCAACAGATCTGGAGTATCTTGCATAGACAGCTATTGGTAAATACCTGTACCATTTTGATGATGGTTGTGTAGTTGCTATACAAGTTTCAGCCCCGTACAGCAGAACTGTCTCGACGTTCGTATTGAGGATTTTGATATTGGCTGATAGTTGTTTTGGGTTCCAGATGTTCTTCATCTGTAGGAATGGTGTCGTTGTTTTGCCAATCCGTGTCTTCATACCTGCATTACACCCTCCTTGTTTGTCAACTATACTTCCCAGGTGCTTACAGGCTTCCGCCTCTTCCAGAGCTTCTCCATCGAGTGTGAATTGGTTGGCGCTGACTGTGGGACATGTGAAGACCTTGTTGTTTTTTCCCTTGTTAATGCTGAAACTTACTGTTACAGAGGATGGTGCTACACTGTCTGTTTTTACCTGGATTTGTTGCTGCGTATAGGATAAAGTGACTATCTGATCTACGAAGTCCAAAATATCTAGCTGCATGCTAGCTGTCCATTGTGTTGTGTGCTTTTTCGGAAATATGGAAATCTTCGTAGTCATGTTAACCACTTGAAAGAAGAGAAAAGGTAAGAATAGTCAGCCTTGTCCAGCACTGACCTCTATCCGGTATGCATCTGTGAGCTGCCCTCCATGCATGACTTTGTTGTGTAGTGCGTCATAAGAATTCCGTATGATATTGACGATCCCAGGTACATCATACTGTTGAAGAAGGTTGTATAAGGCTCTCTTATCCACGCTGTCAAATGAGTTTTCATGATCAAGGAAGCTGATGTATAGTGATGAGTTCCATTCCGTTGTTTGTTCCACAATGAGCCTTTTGTTGCGATATTGCCGGTACACAATCGTTCCTTACGAAAGCCAGCCTGTTGGTCTTCTGAGTCTTCCGTTCGGCTCAGTAACACTACCGCAAATTTTGCTTTGTACTCATAGTAGCGTGATGTCTGTGAAGTTCTCACAATTACTAGGATATCAGGAAATATCGTGAATGAATTCGACCGCAGACCAACTGTCCCGAATAAAACATTTCAAAGAGATAATCCATATAAGGAAGAACAGACCATAGAAAGCCAAATGATGCTATTGGAATTGGAAGAGAAATCTGGAAAATCAAACTCATTCAACACAGATGACATAAATAGTTCATTATGACACTTAGCCATCACACATTGCTATTCAAACGACATAAATAGCTGAATATAACAAGCTACTTACTATTAATAGGTAGTATCACGATAAAGTTAAAATGAACTTTGACTATGATGAGCAAATATTCTTCATGCAAAGATACTAAGATAAAAGGGATGTCAGTACAAACCTTATAAATTTTATAAACAGTCAGTGGTTGAGGGGAAGTTATTTGTATTTAGCTTGAATCACAAATACTTTATCGCATTTCACAGACTGAAATCAATATGCAAATTGTTAGAAACTATAGAGTAATGAACATCTGTCTCAACCTAGTAGTATGGAGTAGCGCGATGAGAGAACAAGTGAGGAAGAATGAAGCTGAAAAGTTATGTAATACCACACTTTTTGTGTTGTCCCATAAGTATATATGTAAGCCATTCGACTGGTTGTCTTGAGATTAGTGGATGCAGTGAGTTTTGTTTTTGTGAACCTCTTTAGGATAATTGATTGTAAACAACGTCTTAAGTCATTTTACGAGCCTTTGTCTAAGTCACCTATGTTGATACCTTTTCTGGTAACGCATCATTCATGTAAATACTGAACACTAGCATAAAGGTAGATTTTCATTTCAAATGTACCTCTGTACTATCAAGCTGTCGAAATCATTATATGGATATGCGAACATACTGATCATTAAGCTGTGAACAGTTGCTACTTTATAGTTCATATGAACCACCCTATCTGGCTGTGGAAATGGGAAACACACTGTTGAATGATTCAAGTTAACATTTCTCACATCCATGGGATATATATATATATACAGTAATCGTACTTATTACTGGTATCAAGTAAAAAAGAGTTTCGAATAGTCCGTAGTACTGTATTTAATTAATAAAACGGAAATCCCAATATTGCTTCGAATCATATTCTAGTAGTTACAAACTGACCAGTTCTTGACGGGAGGAGATGATCGTTAACACACACACAATGTATATTAAAACATTAAGAAGGGGATGTAATTATCTTCAAAACATTTTGTCATTTAACATGAATACCATATACTGTTCAAATAGTAGTTACATTACATCTGTCTTTATTATTTGCCTAATGATAGAAGCTCAAAAGATTTATTTTGAAAATTATCTAACAGTGGTCCATCACCTATCACTGAAGTCTAACGATGAAGTTGTGAGTGTTTTAATGGGTAAGTGTATCAAATCAATTAATGAGATTAGGTTGAGAAGGTTGGTCGAGTGAGGTAGTCGAGTTATTCTTTCTACAAACCCATAAGTTTCAATACGGTTCTGTTTACTCTTGGCTTACTTTGTGATAGAGGAGTGAATTATGAACCTGTCTCTATCATGTTGAGTATAGTCTCTATGGGTTGGACACCTTTTTCATAGGGTTTTTCAACTTAAGGACTTGGAGGATTACCAGATACTGCGAACAATAATAATTTCCTATCACATTTGAAATGACCAGATTTCCTCATAGAATGGAATTCATTTCGGTTGTGTTCTATCTGATTCTGTAGTTTTCATTATTTTCCATA